GTCTTTAAGACCCCAGACGCTATATCTTTTGATAGCCGGGCACCATCAGCTTTCTTCACCACATTTGCTTATGCACACGTTTGTCTTCAGTGATCCTAGCAGGAAGGTGGGCACCCAGAGAGGATAAAAGCTTGGGAAGCATTAAAGTTTCTTCTCTCTCTCTCTAGTCGCTCCCCTCTCTTCCCCCGTCCTCTCTCCCTTGTTCCCTTTCCCGTCCTCCTTCCCAGCTTGCTCCCTCCACGTGGACCACCAAGAGGGGCTGAGGTGAGCAATGCTACCATGAAGTGTGTCTGACTCCATTTATTCCTATATATCTCTTTTATCTCTCATGGTCTCTATAACTTTATTATAATATTTACTTATTATCGCTGTACAATTGTGCCTACTGAACCGGTAGTGATTGTGCTAGGAGCTAGTTTCTCCTGGCAGCCGGGCACCATTAGCTTTCTTCACATAAACATTTGTTTATGCAGACATTTGTCTTCAGTAAGGTGGGCACCCACTGGTATGATTTTTAGTTCTTCAATGCCTGATACTGGTTTCTTCTACACCTCGTGGTGAGGCAGGCTGGTGTGCTTCTTCCATGTGGGCTTTGATGCTTCTCAGCTAGATGGCCGCTTGTTTGTCTTCAAGCCTTTAAGACCCCAGATGCTATATCTTTTGAAAAATGATTTTTTTAGAAGAAAGTTAAAAAAAAAAAAGCTTCAGTCTTCAAATTCATGTCCTGTTCATACACAGCTTGAGGTTTTTACAGAATGTAGCTGCTACTGGTTTTATTGAGATAGAGACAAACACCTTGTGGTACTTATTATTACTACTCATGTTATTTTCAAACATTTGGCCTAATATTAATATTTCTTTTCTAGCTCTGGCTTTCAGGGAAGTTTGGATAACCCATGTACAAACCATTTGCTACTAGGAGCTCTCTTTAAACTTTGGTCTTAAAAACAAAACAAAATTAGTGCCTAAAAGTGGGAGAAGATCCAATAGTTCCTGACATATAGCATTGTCCCATGGTTACCCTAACTTAACAGACACTCCTACAATGGTGTTCATGAATTTCAGTGGAGACTCATAACAAGATGAAGAGCGGGGGAGGGTATTTCTCTCTGAGAATATGATTTCACTTGTTGCTGGGTAAACCAGGGAAGGGCAGCCTTCCCTCAGGGAGATCCTTACCACTGTTTGTATAGACCCCCAATGAAAGCATTTGCCCTGTACTCTTTTGCTAATCATGCATTTTCGGCCAAATTTCT